CTAATAAGTTGTATGTTGTAACACCTTTGTCATGAGAGCCAATAAAGTTGAAGTCTCCTCCACTTCATCAGCCATCTGACTAGCATGGATCGTAGATAAGAAAAAGAGTGCCCACATTCTTCTTATTAAGTCATAATAGACTAAAAGCCTCCTCATTGAGGACATTCATGGAACAAGAGTATGAGCTACTACTCTATCTATGTCCTCCTATCTCTTACCAAGCTATCACAATTCGCTAACTTCCTAAGATCCTCCAAAGAAAAAAAATTGAAATTTAAAAATGCAGCTTTATAAAGCAATGCAGTTTTTTGGGGATTGGAGTTGGCCAGGTTACGAGAGATGTAGACGGGAGTGTGAAGTGCAACATGGAACCCAGTGCCCAGTTCTAGGCGGGCGCCCAAAGCCGTGGGCCCTTTTCCGAATTTTTAAGTTACCCAAAAGGGCAAAGGAGGTAATTTTGACCCCCAAGATAGTGAAGATAGTGTAAACATGTTATGGGGGTTATTTTTAACACGCCAAAGTTAAAAGAACACTTCCATAAACCCTCAATCTTTAGTTATACCTATTAGCTATACCTAGACTTCCGATGCAGATGCAAGCAATAACGATGATAATTCTAATTATTATTGGATGTCCCCTTTCTTCTTTTGTAGTATCTTTATTGCAACATCTTGGTTTGAGTTTAGACATTTGGATTTTGGATGCTTTTTTTTTATAAAGTTAACTGGTATTAACAAGAACAAGAGCGAATTACAAAAGATGGGCGTAGCAGCCCTCACATAAGCCCGCAGGCGAAGGTAAAAAATACCCTTAGAAAAACCAAAAAGAGGCCGCTATCGACAACAGCACGTTGGCAAAGCAAAGACACATAAGGGTTTATAAAGCACCCTGTTTACATGTACGCTGTATACACAAAAAGTACAAGGGCAAGAAAAAACAGTGGCCTGAGAGAGACACAGGATTACTAAAGGCCTGTATGGTCAGAGAGGTGAACTCCATCATTTGCCAATAGGTCCACCAGAGTGTTGGACTCCCCGAAGGTATGCATCCAAAAGACGCTGGTATCCCTGCATAAAGAATCAATCTCATAAAAAATGTGCAGAAGGTTCCATGGAGTGAGGTTTTTCTAGATGCCCATGAGATGACGTTACTGGAATCCCCTTCAACTATCAGTAAGGTTCCCCAAGAGAGTTTAAAGTTTCTCAGGCCTATTAAAAGTGTCGTGGCTTCGGCTTGTTGGGCATTCATTACTCCGAGCAGTTCAGCATACGTAAAAAGATTTCATCATCCTGGAAAACTCCTCCTGCCCTGAAGGCCCCGGGTTGCCCCTAGAGCTGCCATCAAAGTTGAGTTTGATAGCACCTCTGGGAGGTGGTTGCCAGAAACTGCTTTTAGTAAGCCTACCAGGATTGTGGTAAAGGATCAGATGCCAATTGTTGGAGAAGTATGATGAAGGAATTCCTGCAAACTCTTAGGAGTTGGTTGCCCAGAAGGTGACCATAGACAAAATTTTATGGAGGAGTACCAGTGGCTATTGGTACCTTCCCTTGAAAATTCTATGGTTCCTTCCGTTCCAAATGATCCAAAGTAAGGTTGTCGTGGTTGCTTTCCACAGAATTTTGCCAGCTTTTGGCCATGGCACGCCGAAGTCTATTGCTTGTAGATCAGGCATAGAGGGAGGGGTGACCCATCGGACGCCGAAGAGATCTAGGATTTTACTTCATAAGAGACTCGCCAGATCGCAATGGATGAAGAGGTGTTCATTGGTTTCCTCCTTGGTAAGGTACGGGATGCACCTATTAGGGGTGTGGACCCCTCTCTTTTGCAATTGATCTACCGTCAAGGCTCTTTGGTAGCAAGCTAACCAGTTAAACAGTTGGACTCTAGGGGGGGCTACGGACGACCAAGCTTTAACCTGTACAACAGGGGTGGTGTGGGCGACACTATAGGATTGGGTGAGTGTTTTATAGAAAGAGGCCACCATGAAGCAGCCAGATGGGGAAGGAGTCCATACCAAGGAATCATTACCAGTAGAGGGTAAGTTGCGCTCATGTAAGGCTGCTAAAAGTTGGTTGAAGGAAAATACCTCAGCTTCAAAGAGATTCCGTCTGAAGGATGGGTTCCAAACTCTTTTCATTCCCAAAATAAGCATTTCCTCGGACACCTTAGAATCAGGGTTAGAAGCAATGGAGAAAAGGGAAGGGTAAAGATCCTTAAAGGGGGTGTGACCGAACCATAGATCCAACCAGAATTTAACCTTGGCCCCTTCTCTTGCATGCAATCTAGTGAACTTTCTGAACAGTTCGAGGGAATGGTTTATGGAGTTCCAAAAACCAGAAGCTCTGTTTCGACACGTTTCTTGTGGTACCCAATATATGATACTTGCAACGAATCACTTGGACCCACAGCGCGTCAAATTGAGTGGCTAGACGCCACCACCATTTTCCAAGCAGAGCCAGGTTATGCTTTCTAACGGATTTGATACCCAGCCCCACTTGAGATTTCAGTCTACTGACTTTGTCCCACGATAAGAGATGGAACCTAGTTTTTTTTGGCTGTCCAGACCAAAGGAAGTTTCTGGATAGTTGTTCTAATCTGTTGCCCACAGAGGTAGGGATATGGAAAATGGACATAAGGTAAACAGGGATGTTGACAAGGGTTGCATTTATCAGGGTTCTGCGTCTTACCATGGAAAGGAATCTGCCCTTCCACCCAGCTAAGCGTTTATCCACGTTTTCAATGACGTTAGACCACAGGTTTCTTTTGGGTTTACCAATTCCCGGGGGTAGACCCAGATAAGTAGAGGGGATGTCCTCTATTAGGCAAGGTCACCTTGGAATAAGAGATCTGATCTAGTTAGGTGATAAACCCACTGCCAACATTTTGGATTTAGACATGTTTATTTTGAAACCTGTAGCCTCCTGAAAACATCTTAGGAAGATCCTAAGATTTTCGATTTCAGTGGGATGAGCATCCAGAAAGACCAGTGTCTCACATGCGAACTGCAGATGGGAAACTGCAGTCCCCTGAGAGGAGCTCATGAAACCAGAGATTAGGCCTGCTTGAAACAAGCGGGTAAGGGATCTACTGAAGACCTCAGAAACAATGGTAAAAAGGAAGGGGGAGAGAGGGTCCCCTTGTCGAAGACCCCTGGAGGTAGGGAAGAAGCCTTTTGGGGACCCGTTAATGATAACTGAGAAGTGGGGGCTGAAGTAGCAACCTTTCATCCACTTCCTCCAGATATTCCCAAAACCCATTCTAAGGAGAACTTGATCACGTAGCGACCATTCGACATGGTCATAGGCTTTCTCCCAGTCAATCTTGAAAATAAGGCCTGGTCTCTTGAGAATGTGTCAGGAGTGGATACATTCATGTGACATGACTACCCCGTCTAGGATTTCATTGTCTTTAATGAAAGCAGTTTGGGAGGGGGAGATAACAAAAGGGAGGACTTTTTGAAGCCTAGTAGCCAGCACCTTGGATAAAATCTTGTACGAGGAATTGATGAGGCTTATAGGCCGAAAGAGGTTTAGTTCGTCAGCTCCTGGCTCTTTGGGGATGAAGGCATTAAAGGTAGCATTCATCGCCTTGTGAATAATACCCCTAGAGTGAAATTCTTCAAAGAACAAAACGATGTCCTGTAGGAAGGTGTTCCAAAAGGTTTTAAAAGGCGCTATGGAGTAGCCGTCGGGTTCAGGGGCCTTATCAATGGCAAGGTTATTGATGGCCGATAAAATTTCAGCTTCAAAGAAAGGTCTCTGAATCCAAAGTTTAGAATGGGCTGAGATAGAAGGGAAATTAAGAGAAGTCATCCTAGGTCTACGAACCTGGGGGACCGTAAATAAATCACGGAAGTAATCTAGGATGGCTATCTCGATGTCACCCTTATGAGTAAGGATGACATTATCCTTTTTGAGTGTGGAAATAGTGTTGTCCTCTCTCCTACATTTCGCAGTTCGGTGGAAGAAACTAGTGTTTAGATCTCCTTCTTTGAGCCATTTGACACTGGATTTTGGATGTTAGACATACTTTTTTTTGCCGTTTTGGACTATTTTGTTGTGTTGTTTTATACTTTTGTAAGTCAGTTTGTTGAAGACTTGGAGAGTTGGAAACTTGGCGTCCATGTTATTATGGACATGGAATATGGAGAATGGAAGAGTTGGAGACTATCCAACTATTACTCTTACATAGCCTATTAGACTTTTAAATGTTTTGTATGGTTTGAATTTTGAAATTTTAAACAAGTTTATTCTCAAAATGCGATGTCGTATGTTGGTATATAAAAAGTATGTTAAAATATTTTCAACTGCAATAAATTACAAAATTGACACAAATATATGCATACATGTGTGTTTTGGAAAGCAAATATATATATATATATATATACAAAAAAAAGTTGTACCACTGGGCGCCTAAGATTTTGGGCGTGGGCGTTGGGCACCAGGATGGCCGCCTAGCGTTTTTTGAAACCTCGACAAGAACACACTTATATAAGGCATTTTTCAAGTTCTAAGTTTCCCCAGAAATAAATGTAGTTGGAAAATTTGCCAAACTAAAAAATAATAATTATCAAAAAGGTTGGTGATTTTTCAAAGAATTTGGAAATTCGTGACTCCTTTCCCATTGTAGCCCACTTTGTAAGTCCAAAATTTTGGTAAACCAGGAAAGCCTCCTTAATTTAGATGCGTCAAATTAACATGCCTACACTTCTGAAACACCACAAGAACCACCTGTAGTACATTTGACAACAGCCATCACTCCCCACATTATATATATTTTCCTGGTGTGCCTATATTAATATTCATGAACAACTTATTTCAAAACCATGATACAAGTACACTAAGTTATGAATATTCACAAGCTCCCCATGCATCAACAAAGAAATTTCACCAAAAGTTTGAGGTGATAAAATCAGGCTACTTTTGGCTCAAAATCCACCATTGAATTAGACTGCAATCAAATCAAAGAAAAACACCAAGATGAATGCGATTCTATCTTACTTCTAAGTGAGAACAACCCTGAAGCAACTGCTTAAGATCTGAGGTGCGCAAAGCCCCAATGCCTCGTTCTTCAGCCAGGGAATCTAAGGATACAGATCTGGAGGAGACAAAAGTTTCAATCAAAATAAAGGTGCAATTGAATGATCCATAACCCATCTATGGACATGGAATTCATGCCCATACATCACACCATGAGATCACAAATACAGGATCAATCACATGTATCACTATCATATTCTCTATCAGGAGCATCACTTAGGTAAAGGAAGTAACAATAATCTAGGTCTTTCATGAAATCTAAGAATGAAGATCAATAAATTGCCATAAATTCAGCTGAAACACATAACGGGCTTCTAAGAAAGTGATCATATTATCTTACACAACCATCAATTTATCCTTCCGAAAAGGAAAGCAGAAGCACCATTGATCTGGGCCTTTCAAAAAATGTAAGAACAAAATTGATTTGTATGAGATATTCACCCAAAAACACAATAACTAAAAGTAAGGGTTTTAGAGTAAAAACCTTAGGTCTGTGCATTTCCTTCCAAGCTCTAAAAGAAGCTTCGAACTGAGGCGTCCACAATTATGCAGGTAAAGGTCACGAAGCGAGGGTCTCGCCAAATGAACAATGGAAGAATCATTGAGATTACTGCAATCAATTTTCAGACTCCAGAGCGAAGGATTTGGAGGAAGCAATCTCTCAAGCATATCAACAGTGGGGGCAATATCCTGCAATGAAAATGGAGAGAAAACCAGGAAATTAGGACACAAAAAAACCAAAAAATATGGGGAAAATCAAATAAATTCGAAGAAATTAAGAATATATTAGGGGTTTACCAGTAAATGGAAATTGGTAATGAAGAGGAGAGTTTGAGAGGCACAAAAGTTGAGAGTTTTACAAGAAGCAGCAGCAGAGCAAAGGGAGGGAAGGTCAAGCTTGGACATGATGGTCTGGAGAAGAGCCACAGGAAGAAGGTCTAGACTAAAATCACTTGCAGATCCTGAGGACGAAGCCATGATTTGAACTCCTATAGCAAGTCAAAACCACTCTCTCTCATACCATCATTGGAACTGCAAAGGATGGACAAAGCTTCTTCTCGCACTTCTCTCTCTCTCTCTCTCTCTCTCTCTCAAAGTATGCACAAACTGCACCACGCGTAAGATACCGACGTATGGTAACGTACATTGTTAATGGTGGCTTGCAAGATCCCCTTTGCCTTATTGGGGTGGGACTACAAATCCAGATTTGGTGGTCCGGTCTAGGGAGACCACTGCCACAACATGCTCCCCCGCCCAAAGTAGAGGCAATTGCTTTGATGTGCTCTTTTGGGTGGTCGCCATTGTGTTCGAACATATTTTAGTTTGGAATTGTGTACAATCGACCCATTTACTTTATTGGATGCGTCTTAAAGTTCGAAAAAAAAAAATTTGAACTTTGAACTCGGTCAAAGTAGCTACCCAAGTTAAGATTAATTGTGATGCCAAAGATAAATAGTCTTATTATATATATATATATATATCTTTTTAATTTTTACGCGTTGTAAAGATCAATTTATAAGCCAAAACAATATCTCACAAAATTCTCTTATTGATTTCATTTTTTCTTTTTATCTGAATTTTATCACAAGATCGGCCAATTATTTAGGTCAATCAAATATGGTATTTTTCAGATAAAACAAGTCCCCTAGCATGTTTTTTTACTCGCCTCGGCACCAGAACTTGCCCTTACTTTCATTATGATCAGTGTGACATTTGAATCCATAGTCATGAGTCGTGAGGCTAGTGGCCTGTATGAGACGTTGCTCTCGTAGCTAAGTTAATGCTTAGAGATTTAAATTAGGGAAAAAAGTTTATACGGAGCCAAGGCTCTAAGCAATCAAATTAGAATCCACTTCAAAATTTTCACTAGAAGAGGTTGTTTTGATGTCCAAATATCCTCAAATTGATCATCTTGGCATCAAGATGCATCGACATGAGAAAAATATAGATTTTAAGTTTTGAAAATAATGCATCTTGTAAGACATTTTTTGACAGTCAATTTTTAAGATTTTCAAGTTTTCATAGATCTGCTCGATCTATACTATTTTTTCAATTTTATAATTTTTAAAAACCCATTAAAAAAAGTTAGTTTGACATTGGAAAACCATCCAATTGATCATCTCAACATCGAGATATATGGACATGGAAAAACAAAAAGATTTCATATCCCAAAAATAGTTCATCTTGCAATACATTATCTAGAGCTCTATTTTTAAGATTTTCATGCATGTATAGATTTGCTGGATTGAACCATTTTGGAGTTTAAATCTCCATAGTTAGAGATAAAAATATATTCTCGGGCCATCTTAAAAAATTTCGACACCAAAATTACATCTTATGATAGAGTTTGGAAGTGCATCTTACTTTGATTGTTTAAGGTTGCAATATTATGCAAACCTCGCCCATTTTATATAGGGAATGTCTACAAAGAGACAATTTATATTGGCACATAGAGATTGCAATGATTCTCACTCGTTAGATGTCAAATTGGATGTGAGTCACAAAGTTTGAGAATTTATTTTAGAACTCTATGTATATTCAATGACACTCTTAGAACCACCCATTTTGAAAATTAAGGGAAAAAAATGTTTGTCACCTCTATGTACAAAAAAATAAAATGGTCTCTTTGTAGACTGGTTTATATAGTTTATATATTTTGTACTTATATATACCATGTCTAGTCAACCCCAACTGGGACGTAGACGCGCCCTTAGAGGGTCCAAGCTAGACCCGAGTATGGACCTCAACTTTGGTCAGGTCCAATCATTTGGACCCAGACCCAACCCATAGGGTCCAACACTTGGACTGGGTTCAAAGTGATCCGCCAAGTTAGCAGATCGACTCAACCCGATTGTTATCTCTATATGTCAGGTCTAATACTTTCTGAACTACACTACTAACCCAATATTATTTATTTTTACACCCATCTCCTACTAAGTACAAAACTAGCACCTTTTAAGATGAAAATACCCCCGTTCAATGTCACCCATGGTTCCCTCATTTTTTTGCTTTATCCTTTCTTACGGAATGCCCCGACGGCCTCCACTTTCTCTATCAAGGCCCTCCACGGGCATATGCGCCTCCCCCTCCATGTGGCTCCTTTCAATTCTCTTTGCAACTCCTTGCACGAAGAAATCTCTCTCTCTCTCTCTCTCTCTCTCTCTCTCATTGTAGATTCCCCAGTTATAACCCCAGGCCAATTTGGTACTTAACATGAGCCTGACCGGCATCTAATACAAATCATCAAAGCATCGGAATCAATGCAGGTTGCCATTAATCTCCTGAATAAAAAATTCATAGTACTCATTGAAAAATGGCAAACTAAAAATTCAAAAATTCACAAAACAATAATTCAAGAGGACAAACCTAAAACCTGTCAAGCACACAATGTGTTACTCGCTTAAGAAACAACCAAAAGCTGGTTCAGCAAATAGTGTGTGGACCAGCTTCAAAGAAAATAATAAAGCTACTCTGGCATAATGTGTATTGGATTGACTTAAAGAATAGTTGTTATGGCTCCAAAACAAATAATGAAGTCAAGTCATGCACAATGTGTATCAGATCGAATTCAATAAGATTAGAATCGAGTTTGGTACACTAAGTTTTGGACTCGCTTCAAAGAAAACAACACAGCTATTATGGCACACTACGTGCCAGAGCAACTTCAATAGCAACCAGCAGCCGGTTTAAAATGATGTCTGTCCAACACATAATGGTCTTGTCCAACACACAAGTTGTTCTACCAGTCTGGACCGACTTAAAAAAAAAATAGTGAAGCCAGTTTAGCATAATGTGTGTCGGACTGACTTCAAAAGGAGCCAGTCCGGCTCCAAAGCAAACGACAAAGTCAGTACGACACAATGTGTGCTAGACTAACTTAAATAAAACCAAAAGCCAGTCTTACATGTAATGTTTTGAACTGTGGAGTAGGAGTGGCCTCTATATAATTTAAATAAAAATATGACCTGTTTTATGATAAAGGCGTTGAAACCCTATCCATACATAATACTTAATTTAGTTTGTAAACTTTGTGATGAGAAGACGAAATTAATCGATTAGAAGAAAACAAATTTTTAAAATGTTTGTTGTCTTACAAGCTTGGAGAGTGAAGGGTCAAGGATGAGAGCAAGTTCACTCAAATAGAAGATATCTTAATGCATAAGGCTAGGTAGGAGGAATTAAGATTCACTTGTGTGGCTTTTGCGATGGACTACATCTATGCTCACCATCATGCAAGGCTATGATGCCAACAAATTTTAAAAATTAGAGGAGAATTGGAGGATATATGTATTCATAGGGTCAGTTGGGTGAGGCCGGTTTCCAGGCATAGGCTAAGACCCAAAGACTTAAGCTTGAATTATTTTTGGGTCGGGCCAAGCCCAAGCCCAAACCAAAAAATATGTATACTATTTATTTATTTATTTTTGAATGTTGAAGGTAAATTTCATTAGATAAAAGAGGAAAGAACCAAGATTATTTAAAAGAGGAATACAAGCACCTTTCCTTATGCAATTATCGCATGGGCCGGCGTTGAACCTCACACCGCCTGCATTGAGACATCGCCCATACAAGTAGCAACAGAAAGGCGGCAAAGCACAACTAGCAATCGAAAACTAGGAACTAAAGATTGGTCTAAAGAGAAGCAGGAGAGAGTGAATAGAAGAAATGGGGATAGATAATAAGTAGAAAATACAACATGGAGGAGAAAGGACCTAAAAAATAGGAAGTAAAGAAAACCAACTCAGACAGCTCACCAAATAAATAGTATTTAGCCGCACAAATTTTAGCACCAGAAGAAAAAAAAAAAAAAGAACCAAATTTTTTTAAAAAAAAGCAAACCAAAAAAATAAAAAAAAGAACCAAATTTTTTAAAAAAAAACAAAAATTTCCCTCTAAAAACTAAGAGAGAAAAAACCACTCTAGAGGGAAAAGAATAACTGCAAAAAAATAAAACAACAATAATATCAACAACAAATTTGAAACCAGGGTGTACGAGTTAAGGTCTACAAAAAGGATGAGGCCAAAAGAAAACATAACCTAAAGGAAACAGTAAGGGGCACAAGGGTAGAGTGAGAGGGGAAACAACATTGTAGGTACAAAGAGGGAAAGGGCGAGAGAGAGAGAAAAAAAGAGAGAACGAAAATGGAAATGAAAAAGAGCGAGAAATAAGTACAATGTATATCCTTATATTATAAAGAAATGCTATCACGCCATTGTGCCATTCTAATATAACGAAACCACATTTCTTTAAAATCATGTTTGTAATATTATTTATACGACTCAAAATTTTTGCACACGCACTCTCTTCATCTCAATAATTAATTTATAAAGAAAAAAATTAATATGTGGTCAAAATGAGAGTGCCCTCCAATAATGAATCTAGACTGTACATTTGGTGAATTTCAATATCTAGGTCTTTATGAATTCAAAATCGTTTTTTCTTTTTTTAATGTTGTTAGTCTAGTGATAATAAACTTATCTAAAAATTTTGAAAAAAAAAAAATCATCTTAAAGCCTAGATCTAAAGTATCTCATCAAAATGAACAGCCTATGTTAATTGGGCTAAAAAACACATTCCAGGTTGTGTTTTCAATTTTTTTATTTTTTTATTTTGTGATTATTGATTAAATTGACAAGAGTGTATATTTAAAATTTGGATCAAACAAATGGCCTTAACATAGTTTTTTAAAATTGTTTTGTTATATTATTATACAATCATTGCATGAAATCATTCCTCTATACTATAATATGTTTATGGATATATATTATGGCCTAAGACTTGCCCCACTTTTTTAGTGCCGCTTGTTGCTTTGGTTGCAACACTTGGATTTAGGCAGATTCGGCATATGCCAAGAAAGTGGGGCAAGGCTCAAGCCATGTTTAGCCTTGCCTGACCCAACCTGGTAGTAGCCTGATCAATGTTTAAGATAATAGATGGGTTACCAGGGTCGCTCATCCAAAAAACTGTTCGGATCGACGGTCCGTATCGGTAGATCAGCCCGATCTGGCCTTTAAATTTTTTTAAAAGAGTATTAAAATTGTTGTAAATAGGTAGGATTAGAATTACTATCTTGATATCCATTCCAAACTTCAAAATTACTTGCATAATAAACTTTTTCAATAAAATTTCTTTTATACCTACTAACCCCAACACCCC